TGCGGGGCGCTGAGGTCAGGACGGACGCCTGGCTTGGTCGGCCGCCGCCCGGTCCGCTGTTCCTAGAAAGGCGCTTCCAGTCTGGCAGCCCGGCCCGGACGGGGCTGTGTGTGCGGGCGGCCCCCAGGCTGCTGGCACCTGCCTCTTTTGTCTGGTGCCACCGGGCTAAAAACGGGGAGTCGGACGAGCATGCCCTCACCGCCGCCTCAGCTTTCGCTGTGTTGTTAGTGGGAAGGCGAGACAAGGCGGAGGAGCTGGGCTAGGTGTTTGTCATTGTCATAACTCGCCACGAATGAAGAGCAGGTCTGCGCCTAGAAGGAGTGACTGGGCCAGGCCTCTTATTGTGTGCTCTCCTGCCGCCCGGGAGGGTGGTGTGTGCTGGAAGATAGAGCGATCTGTGCTGCAGTGTGGGTGTTGTAAGCACATTTGCAGGGCCTCAAGTTCTTTCGGGGACAGTGAGGCTGCTTATATACAAATTAGTACCTGCAGTGCTAAAAGCACTTGGAGAGGAACCGGCAATTTCCTCCTAGAGGGAGCACAAGCACAGCCCCGCATTGCCCCACAAAATGCATAACCCATGGACATGGACAATAGGGTGGTAAAGGCCTGATGGGAGGCATGGTGGAAGGGGGGAGGAGGAGATCTGTAATACTGCTAACAATAAAAAATAATAACAATTAAAAAAAAAGAGGCTGGCCCCAACTGGTTTGGCTCAGTGGATAGAATGTCGGCCTGCGGACTCAAGGGTCCCAGGTTCGGTTCCTGTCAGTGGCATGTGCCTTGGTTGCGGGCACATACCCAGTAGGGTGTGTGCAGGAGGCGGCTGATTGATGTTTCTCTCTCATCGATGTTTCTAGCTCTCTACCCCTTCCCTTCCTCTCAGTAAAAAAATCAATAAAATATATTTTTTAAAAAAGAGGCTGCATTTGCAAATCAGTTGTGCTAGGAATCCCTGCTGGGTTTGGCAAGGAGATGCTGGTAGGAGATGGAGCAGGTGAAAGGTTTCATTCAAACCAGCTCCTCTCCACACCTGTGAATGCATGTCCACATTATGGTGTACACTGCAGACTGTTCCCAGAATACGTTTTATGAATGTTCCCAAATAAATCGCCTTTGAAAGGAAAAGGAAAGTAAGCCAGCGTTTTAACTATGAAATGTCAATGGATGTGGGCTGGGAGGGATTTTAAGAGACGTTATATGTAGGAACATTATGAAGGATCCACATGCAGCCTGTGATGTTTTCGTCCAGGGTGGTGCCTGCATTCTGAAGGTGTGTGTGGCCTCTAATTCTAGCCTGTCCATCCACCTGCACTCTAATCCACTGGCAGGAATATGCATTGAGACTTCCAGGTGCAGCATCAATTTAGATGTGGTAGTATTTATGACAAATTATGTCTTGGTGTGTGTGTGTGTGTGTGTGTGTGTGTGTGCGCGCGTGTGCGCGGGCGCTGTATGAGGGGGAATCTTGGAAACAGAAACTTATGAGCTCATCTAGAGGATGAACACAGGTTCCTCAAAATGGTGAGAAGTCCCACAGAATAATGGAGGATGCTGATTTGTTGGCCTGGAAAAGTTTATAGGAAAATCTGGATAAGATCCATGATCCCCTTCTTCCCCACCCACATGTGTGATCTTTGTGGCTAAGGCAGTGTAGATACTTTCTTGGCACCACAAATGTGTGGCTTAGGCCTTAGCTACCTATGGTCTGCAAACACGTGGCTGTGTGCTTTAGCCAGCTCCCTGTGCAGAAAGTGGGAGCTTGTAGAGGCCCAGGGAATCTTCTTGGTTCAAATATATGACTAAGCCCATGGAGAGCTGAGCCAGCCATGGCAAGGGAAACACACCTATTTTGATGCCTACTGGTACCTGTAATCTTGAAAATGATTTCAGTTTGAGTGTGGCTTTTCTTTGTCACCAACATCAGTGCCTACTATTGGGCAGCCTCAGTGAAGGACAGTAGAAGATATGTATGGTCTCTGCCCTGATTGAACGTGTAGTCCAGTTTGAGGATATGTGCAAATAAAACAAAATCAACTTTTTTTTTCTATTTATTTACGTTTTTTTTTTTCATTTGCTGTGGTATTCTTGGCTTTAAAAGCCTGTTCCTTTAAGGAATTCCAGTAATTGCTACAATTTTTGGTCTTTGCAAATTGCGACTCAACAAGAGCCCTTTAAAACTAGATTTGCATTCTCTGGTAGTACATCTGTGCCATCCTTTGCTAGGGTCCTATTTGTTTTCTTTGGGTTCATATAGATTTGGGGAAAAATCTTAGGGTTTGAGGGATGATCACTGGCTTTAAAAAGAAACAAAATATTCAAAAGCCAATCTGACCTTTATGATTTACAAAGTTTGATGAGTTTAGTGAATTGGCATGAGTACTGGCAGTATCATCTTCCCAACCTCATTTTAGGAAACAAAGAACTCCTTTTAAAAACAAATTTATTTTAAAAAGTAGGAGTATTTATGATACCATGGGCAAAATATTGGTTCTGCTATTAAAGTAATAGCTGCCGGAAGGATGGGATAATTGTTTTGTAAGGATATAACTTCAAAATCAATGAAACCAATTCATATCTACCTATATATGCTATAACTTTTCCTGGAAAATACAAATGAAGAGGCATGAGGTAGTTTTCATATTTGGAAGAAAAAATTACATTCCAGATTTATTTATTTTTATTTTTTAAAATATATTTTATTGATTTTCCACAGAGAGGAAGGGAGAGGGATAGAGAGTTAGAAACATCGATGAGAGAGAAACATCGATAAGCCGCCTCCTGCACATCTCCTACTGGGGATGTGCCCGCAACCAAGGTACATGCCCTTGACCGGAATCAAACCTGGGACCCTTCAGTCCACAGGCTGACGCTCTATCCACTGAGCCAAACCGGTTTTGGCTACACTCCAGATTTAAATCACACTCCACTGCCTCCTGCTCCACCCAGTTGGGGTCAGCAATAGACTAATGAGCAGGTGAAGGAAGACATTAGAGGCCTGCTGATCACTGTCTCCTCTTCAGAGGTCTTCAGCAGTTAAGTAACCTGCCCAAGGTCACAAAGCTAGTTAGGAGTGAGGGCTTAAAAAAGTCCCTACTTTACATGCCTGAAGGGTCTAATCTCAGGGGGTCTAGGCCTCTAGGACAAGAGAGTATGGGGCAGCAAGGAATGAGTGCCAGTTTCAGAGTCATTCAGAGAAAACCTGGGTTTAAATCACAACTCCCTCAGTTATGACTTTGGGACCCTGGGTATATCCCATATTCACCCTCAGTTACAATATTACCTACCTCATTGGGTCATCATGAGATTTAGAAGAGAATATTTAGCATATTACACAACTGATTGCTGAGTAATAGTGTCGGGCACATAGGAGACATTTAATAAATATTACCTTTTCCCACTTCATTCTTTTCAGAGGGCACATGCTTTTGACCATAAATTTTTTTTAAAAAATAAATTTTATTGATTTTTTTACAGAGAGGAAGGGAGAGAGATAGAGAGTTAGAAACATCAATGAGAGAGAAACATCGATGAGAGAGAAACATTGATCAGCTGCCTCCTGCACATCTCCTACTGGGGATGTGCCTGCAACCAACATACATGCCCTTGACTGGAATCGAACCTGGGATCTTTCAGTCCGCAGGCCGACGCTCTATCCACTGAGCCAAACCGGTTTCGGCAACCATAAATTTTTAGCCAATGAATCAGAGGTCATGGAAAGGTCAGGGAGGCTTTGCAGATATTTTGGTTAGTTTGGACTGACCTTGGGAAAGGGGACATCATCCCTGTGGTGGGATTTCGGGAGCACTCATAGGTTGTTGCCCTAAATTTTCCATTACCTGTATATTTTATTTCAACATTCCTGAAATTTTGTCTTTAGAACTTCTTTTGTTTGAATTCAGAGGTTTTTCCCCCTTTTCTAGATTGACCTGGTAAAACATGGATCCCCCAAAAGGGATAACACCAAAAGCCTTTATCAACTAAACCCTTAACTTAGCAAGGATGAACTGGTTCCAGCAGCTTGCTGATAACAAAGGCTCTACAGAAAGTAAAATGGGGACCATAGAGTGCAAGCATACCTTTCAGAAGGTCATGAGTGGAAATCAGGAGGACTCACCAGGAGCCTTCCTTACCAGAAGGCAGAGATTCTATTCCCACTAGTTCTTTCTTTGACAGAGTGAGGAACAGAAATACAAATATTAATACTTATCACATACTAGTTACTATCTTAAGTGCTTCATGATTAATATTAACTCTGAAGTAGGCACGATTATCATTTCCATACTTGGTTAAGGAAATTGAGGCTTGAAGATGTTGACCAATTTGCATAGCTAGTACCGGGTCAAGTCTGGATCCACATCTTGATTGCCTCAAAGACAGAGAGAGCCTGAGTGGAAGGCAATTTGAGAATGAGTCCTTAACAGTGAATTTTTTGCATTTCTTGTGGTTCTATGGGTCTCATATACAGTTTATAAATATATATTGTGACATATTTATGCATTTCAGTTCTCTACTATGTTTTGAAACTTTATTTGCTATTTTTTCATGTCTGAGCCCTATGATCCTTTCTTCTTCTTGTTGTTTTCATTGATCTTCTCTCCCTTCTCTTTCTCTTCCTCCTTTTTCTTGTTTTTTAATCCAATTTTTCTGAAGCATTAAATGTAAGTAAATGAGTTATGGTGAATTCAGGTTTTAAAATAATTTCTGTTGAATATGTGAGTATGTTGGAAAATCTTAAGTTGGTAAAATTTACAGATTGATTCCATTTGCTCTCCATCTGGCCTTGAGGACCATAAACACTAAGTAATGTAGACAATCTGATTATGAAATGCTGCCCACTGTCTTTTTCTCCTGGCCCACCACCTCTCTTTAGCTCAGTGGTTCCCAACCTTTGTTTTAGCCATGCCCCATCTAAGCATCTCTAAAATCCTGATGCTCCTCCACTCCCCCGTAACATATAATTGTTCTTATTCCAAATGTGAACTCCTATTCACATGGAGGAAGCCTGAAAGCCCATTGGTCTAAAAAACTTCCAAAAACATGACATCCATGAAAGAGAAAAATAAAAGAACGAAAGGATGGTTGAAGTACTGAGGAAGAAATCACTGAGAAGTTGTGAAAAAAAAATAGTAATATGAAACGACATGAAAAACTAGCAAATAAAGTTTCAAAACATAGTAGAGAACTGAAATGCATAAATATGTCACAATATATATTTATAAACTGTATATGAGACCCCTAGAACCACAAGAAATGCAAAAAATTCACTGTTAAGGACTCATTCTCAAATTGTCCCCCTTAAAAATCAAATTGCCCCCCTGTGGGGTGAGTGCCCCAGGTTGGGAACCACTGCTTTAGCTGAATGGTGGTGTGAAAGCTGACTTCCTGCCTGCCATCAGGATTAGCACACTGCCCTGCAGGCAGCCTGGAGCTTCGGAGTCAGGCAAACCTGGGTCAGTGTTCTTGGTTCAAGCATTTCTCATCTGGCTTACGTTGGTAAATTTAGGAGAATTTTTTCCTCTGTTTTGGTTTCTTCATCCATAGATAGGAATCATAATAGTTTGAAAGGTTTGCTGTGACTATTGGAAATAATAGCTGTTCAAAGCCTGATATGTTGTTAGGTGGTCTGTACAGAGGAGCTGTTTCTAATAAAACTAAAGTTGATTAATAAGCTATTCACACTGGGCCTGCCTCTTCCTTTTCTTTGCCGTCTTCTTTCTCTCCCAACTTGATAATTCATATGAAATATATCATCATTTCTAGCACTGTTTCCACCAACTGCTCTCAAGTTGAGTCTCTCAAATCATGATCTTAAATAATATAAGTATGTGTCTCTCTTTTTGTTGCTGTGCCTCATAGATTCAACTTGAACTGCGTCATGTCCTTTGGCAGAGACATGGAGCTGGAGCACTTTGATGAGCGGGATAAGGCTCAGAGATACAGCAGAGGGTCACGGGTGAATGGGCTGCCCAGTCCCACACATAGTGCCCACTGCAGCTTTTACAGAACCCGCACGCTGCAGACGCTCAGCTCCGAGAAGAAGGCCAAGAAAGTTCGTTTCTATCGAAATGGAGATCGGTACTTTAAAGGGATTGTGTATGCCATCTCCCCAGACCGGTTCCGATCTTTTGATGCCCTGCTGGCTGATTTGACCCGAACTCTGTCGGATAATGTGAATTTGCCCCAGGGAGTGAGAACAATCTACACCATTGATGGACTCAAGAAGATTTCCAGCCTGGACCAACTGGTGGAAGGTGAGCATTATGAGATAGCTCCCCAGTGACCTTGAAGAACAGTTCTCACATTTCCACATTGCTCGAGCCAGCTCCCACTTGATCTTTAAGAGCAGCATTCTGCCTTGTGGTGCTGATTCTTATTGTTTCACACATTTTCGAGTTCACATTGCTGTACTTACCATAGTGTAAAAAGAAAAGAAAAAAAACCTAGTGGTATTAGGTCAGCTAGCTCATGGTAATGAGCTAAGGGAATAAGTGTCTTAATTCTACAGCATACTATATATTTTTTTCTCACATCTATGGTACATTAATTTTAAGAGTCCATGTTTATATCTTTAATCATATAGCTCATCTTCATTTCAAGATAAAAATTGAGCTCTTGCTATCACATCAGAAAGTGCTTGAACTAAAAATAATGAATTGATCATGAAATTTTAGAGTTGAAAGGAATCTTAAATAGGTACCAAACCCATTAATTTTATCATGGGAGACTGAGGTCCAGAACATTCAAGTGACATGTCTGTGGTTAAATACTAGTTAGTGGTGATGTTGGACCAAAAATTAGTTTTCCTGGCAATTCTTTTCAATATGATGCTTCCTTTTAAGTTTTAAAGGCTTGTTATCTTTCTGTGGTGTTTGAGGATATAAAGGAATTGATCTTTCCAGTTTATTTTTTAAGTACAATTTAGGTTAACAGTAATTATCTGTTTAGATGTGAAACTAGGATTCTGGGTCCACTGGTGAGGCTTAGTGTCTTGTGCAAGCAGAGTGTTTCTTATTTTGAGCTACTCACTCCCAGCCTGTTAAAATTTCACCTTAGAAATTTTAAGCAAAGGAAAATGGCTTAGAAAGAAATAACTGGCATTAAATTCAAGCTAAGGTGTAAAACAAGATAGCTGATCCTCTTTGGAGAGTAGGTTTTTCTAAGATTGAGGTATCAAGGTCCTGGTGAAGTAATACACAGCACAAAAGAATGTGGAAAGGAAGTTTGAAGGTTGGAAGTGCTTGATTTCACCTTTACTCCAGATATATTTGCCCAGGCTCTGTTGTCTTATTGGATCCCAGAGGCATCCCTTGCAAGTACTGATCTCTCTCTCTGGTGCAGATAACAGGAAGCATCTTTTTCATCCTTGCCTACCTCCCTTCCCTGCCTACCTCCCTTCCCCCTCATGCAGTTTTGGATTGCTCTGCCCTGACCACACACAGGCAAGCCCTCTTGTCCTCCTTTGGAGGCAGTTATAGAATGAGACACCACTAATTAGCTCTGTTGTCTTATTGGATCCCAGAGGCATCCCTTGCAAGTACTGATCTCTCTCTCTGGTGCAGATAAAAGGAAGCATCTTTTTCATCCTTGCCTACCTCCCTTCCCTGCCCTGCTCGCTTCCCCCTCATGCAGTTTTGGATTGCTCTGCCCTGACCACACACAGGCAAGCCCTCTTGTCCTCCTTTGGAGGCAGAGTTTGTATGTGATTCAAGGATGAGGGCTTCTGTGTCTTTCTCCTATTTTCCTTCCCTTTACCCCTTGGCAGTCATGCCAGTGCAGTCACAGTATGACTGGACTTGCGAGGGTGTGGAGGAGCCTGGCTCTGGTGTGTTTATTTTGTGGGAATTCATATCTCTTTTTGATAATTTGTCATCCTGCCAAGATGCCTGTAGACTTGGCCTTTTCCTTCTATTCAGATGTTGGAACTTCCAGTAAATTAAAGGGGAAGAATGAACATGAAATCTTTCTGTATCAGTGTTGTCCTTTTCATGACCTTGGAAAATACAAGGATAAAGAAAGCATTTGATGAGATATCCCAAGGGATATGGATAAAGATCAAATGCAAAGTCAGGTACATGGCTTGTCACCAGACTATCCCTTTGAGGGCTGATGGTATTGCAGGGAAAATATGCCAAGATCTCAAAGCACATAAGCACATGCTAAGAAAGCCAGGACTGATTTCTCACTCTGTTCTAGAATCACATGTGCAATATCTCTGATGGGAGGGGCACTTCAATCATACCCTCCCTTTTCCCACCCCCAAGACTCATCTTTATTGAGATATTCCCAGGATTCCTATCTATTAAGAAGAGGGTGTGGGAGATGGGAAATGACAACAGTACTTTACACTCAGGGGCCAACAAAGTCATGGCTTGCTTCCCACAACTCTGGCAGTTTTTTAACACAAAAGAATGCCTGCTCTGAGAGACTGCTGTCCTGACTGAAAATAATAATGATAACTCACCACTATTGAGCATGTGTCTTGCATACATGAACACGTTTAATTCTCAGTGATTATAGGAGGTGCTGTTATCACCCTAATGTTAAGATATGAAAAGTGAGGCACAGTGTGATTAAGTGATCTGCTCAAAGTCACACAGCAAGAAATGGTAGGGTTAGAGTTTCAACCCAGGAAAGCTGGTGCCAGAGCTTGAGTTCATAACTGCCACTAATTGGATACTGAGTGAGGTAGTCATAATGGCTTTTAAATAAAATTTTATTGTATTAGCTTCTTCTTGAAAACAAATGTTTTAAACCTTGACTTCATTTCAGGAATGACAGATACTGTTCCGAGAAACACTTTAATATTTTCATTTGCCTCCAGATATATATATTTTTTTGCTCTTTTTATATAGTATACATTTTATTCGTTTGTACTAATACATACTCATATTACAAAGGCAATTTAGTACAAGAATCTTTCTTTCAATATTTGAATCATCTGAATAACATACAACTGTACATTAAAAAAAAAATCCTCATTTGGATAACAAAAAGACAAGCTAAACAATAAAAAATTTTCTTTTCTTACAGGTAGACATTGAAGTGGACCTAATTCGGTTTTCTTTTTAAAAGCCTCCAAAGACAAATGCAGCTAAAAACCTAATTAAAATGAATACAAAATTTGTTTACTGAACTACTGGTCTCCGGCACCATTTTCTGTTTTCTGCTGTTTTGATGCAGGTTCTTCTTTGTTTCTTCTCTTGCTCTTTTTACTGGTCCAGATGCACCATTTTCATCATGTTCATCTTCACTATCAAATTTAGTTTTCTTGCCCTGGAACTGTACTTTTCCTTTAGCAGACCCAGTCTGGGCAACTTTATTTCCCTTTCCTTTTCCTTTAAATCTGCGACCTAGAGAGGCAATTGAGAAATCAGTGAAGAAATGTTTTAAACATCTTGTTGGTCTTTGAACACCTATTATACTTTTTACTCAAGCAAACGAGTAAATATCCTAACTCTCAGAAAAAAGTAAGAATAACCTTTTGACTTCCATTTGTTGAGGGATTCTTGTTGATCATCTATGATTTTTTTCAATGCTTCTTTTTCCACATCTCCATCTAGTACTTCCCATGTCACTTCTTTGTTCTTTAATTGAAGGTTACCATTATTTGCATCTTTGGCTTTATCCAGTGCTTCCTTAGCTTTTTCTTTAAATAGAATTATTCCCTACATCAAAGACAAGAAGACACACACTAAAG